GCGCAGGACAAGCAGAACAAGCTGTCCACCGGGGAGCAGACGTTGCAGCGTCTGCGCGACCACAAGTCGCGGGGGACCTTCCCGCAGCATCTTCGTTCGAAGGTGCCGCCGCTCCAACTCACGAAGGAGTACGCAAAGAGCGACGAGGGCGCAGCAATGCGCACTTCGTACGAGTCGCAGCACCACAGTTACCTCGTGGCGCTCCTCGATAAGACCATCTCGGCGAAAGCCGATGAGGTCCGCTACTTGCGGGAATCCCTGGGATTAGAGAAGGTCGATGGCGTGATGGCAACTGTCATCAACGCACGCTACGCGGAGCTTCGGCAACGCGGGCGTGTGCCTCGCTACGACCGACGCGTCGACGCCGATACGGGCGTCGTCGATCTCGTTCCCCGAGGATACGTCGAGAATCCCATTGCCGTCCAACTTGGACGCAGTGTCTCGAAGACGCCTCCTCCTACGTCGAACGTGTCCGCCTCTTCGTCGAAGGGCGGCACCAGGCCGAAGCGGCCAAGTTGGCGAAGAAGAAGGAGATCGTGCGCAACGCTGATGTCGTGATGGCTGACGCCTCCGGCTCGACCCCGAACACCGCTAGTTCGGCGTCGATTGAGAAGATCATCAACGCGCGCGTCAAAGAAGAGGTTCGGAAGAGCCTCGCGTCTTCTTCGGCTGCGGCCAAGAAGAAGTCCGGCGCCGGGAAGGTTAGCGCCTCCCTTATCAGACGCCCACGGACTAACGTTTTGTCTGCTTATCTCCCAGAAGGGCGAGAAGCGCGACGGCAAGAAAACGTCGCAGAACTCTTCCCAGAGCAAGAAGGTAGAGGTACTTCCGTATCTCCCGCCGCCATCTCGGTACTTACCGAAATTCGGCGAATCCGTGCTCAAGGGCTTGAAGTTCAAAAAGAACAAGCCGTCTTCTTCGACATCGAAGGCCTCCTCGTCGAAGCCGAAGAAGCAGGACAAGGGGAAGGGGAAGGCGAAGTGAGCGCGTATCGAGGTGAGTATCACTTCGGCAACGCCGCCTCCCTCCCGGACTATTTTCTCACAGTCCCGTTGCCTAGAGCTATCAATTATGTAATCAGTCGGACTCCGGTGGAGATTGTCGAAGCGTCCCGTTTCATGTATTACGTCCATAGATCGCCTGGTGTAACGTTGCCCGATGAAATTGCTTTCCAACTCAGCGTCGGGATGCGCTTTATGTATCATCAACCTATTAAGTCCTCCCTTATTTGGGATTCATGGATGGAATTTCAGCGCCGTCTGCGCTGGAGGTTGAAATTTGAGTTTGAAGGCAAAAATCAATTCTACGACCCAGACTACGATTGCGGCGAGGATCCTGATGAAAATCAGGAAGAGCATCCCCCGCCCACGTTACCGTATTATCTCGAACTGGGACTCGTTGAGGGAAGGAAGTTCGTGCGTAGCACGATATCCAAAGTCCCCGACGAGGATGTGAAGACCTACCTTAATCGTCTCGGTCCTCACACCCCGACCATTCGAGACTTCCTGTTGCGGAATAACTATGTTATAACGGGAACCGACAAGAACCTGGGAATCGCGGTGTCAGAGCGAACCTGGTTAGTAGAAAAAAGTCTAGTGCTTCTTAACTCTCGCGCGGATTACGAACCGCTGCGCGAGACGGAAGCTGATGCTATACTGGACGTTAAATGTGCACAAATGGACCTACTCGCCGCCGACGCGGACAAGTGGGTACCCGCTGCAGGGAAACAACTGGCTAAGTATTTGCGGTCAAAAATTACAAAGCCTAAGAGTAAACATTCGGTGCCCGCCTTCTATGTGATCCCTAAGATCCATAAGACGCCGACGGGTTTTCGTCCGATCATACCATGTCACTCTGCCGTCATGAATCCCGCAGCTAAATTTGTCTCAAAGAAACTTAAACCGATCATTGCATCGGCGCCATCCGTTATACACGGGACCAAAGATTTGGCGATAAAATTAAGTAAGCTTCACCTCCAACCCGGACGCAAGTTTTATATTGTAACCGGGGACGTTGTCGCCTTCTATCCTAATATCGACCTTAACAAGGCGCTGCTCATCGCAGAGTTAGCGTACCTTCAATATTATTGGAGTGATAGAAGCGATCGCGACTACGAAAGTGGCGCAGCGGAACAAAAGGTCTTCCGCGACGCTTTGGAGATTGGAAATACGAAGCTTGTCACACAGTTCCAGGGTAAATACTACCGTCAACTACGCGGCCTCGCTATGGGGGTCGCGGATAGTCCTGATCTAGCTAACCTGTATGGGTGCTATTTCGAGGATAAAGTAGGTATTATGAACGACCCCTGCGTGCCCTTCTACGGGCGGTATATCGACGACTGTCTAGCAATTGTCTACGCGTATAGCGAGCATGAAGCGTTAGCGCATCTGGAGAAAGTCAAGTACGATAACTGTGTGATTGAATGGCAAGCGTCTGAAACGTCCCAAGCGTTTCTGGATATGCTCCTCTACCGCGACGGGCAGGGGAACCTGCAGCATATGCCGTACCGCAAGGCGCAAAGTCACCAGGAAAGAATTCCGTGGATATCCTCCCACCCGCTAGATGTAAAGCGGGGTACCTTTATTGGGGAGATGTCACGGTTAGCTACGCTCTCATCACTGTGGTCACACTATGAGGATGCAATGAGAGGGCTGGTTGCCCTCTACATTAAGCGTGGTTATCCGCAAAAGGTTGTTATATCTTGGCTTAAGGAAAATCTCCACAAGCGTTGGGAAAATAGACTGCGTGAAAAAGCAGCTGAGCACGATGAGGTGCTTGTCCTAAAGACCGAGTATAATACCGCATGGAACTATTTCCATGCCTCGCAGCTTCAAGATGCGATTTTTGGATACTGGCGGGAATGGTGCGATCGCGCCGACCGTGCGGACTTCAATCTGAAGTTCCCGAGACCTTCGGTGAGGGATGTGCACACCCTTGGGGATCTTCCTCAATGGGTGATATCGTGGAGTGATGAGCTTCGCGATGGCCCGCCCTTGCCGGACGTTAGAAAGAGCAGTATCTTAAACCGTCGATTAATCACGAGCCGCAAACGCACTCGTAATCTCTTCGACCTTTCAACTCTTTGGAAGAAAATCGTTCTTGAGCAGATGGATGAGCGCGTCGCTCAAACCGTCCTGGAAGACTACTTTGAGCCGGTCGCTAAGGCCGCCGACTCGGAGGACGTCCCAGTGGCGGGTCCTTCCACTGGGCCTGTGCCTAAGTTGGACACGACGCTTTCTGCTTCCGTCGATGAATTTCTACATCGTGATGGTCCCCCTCAAAGGGACGACTCGGATGACGATGTGATAATGGTTCATCGGCGCTCATCCCCCGTTCCCCCCGCTTGGCGGTACGGCGGCTTCTAGGAGCTGCAGTAGGACGGCGATTGTGTGAAGATGGGAGAGTGGCTTTCAGTTAGATGGTTGTGTCGTCGACACAAAAAGACTGAGGGCCTGCGGTAGCACTAGGGAGAATATCTCTAAGTCGAGTGCCTGTGGTCCAAGGGAAGTGTTCCCCGGAATCCACTAGTTGAGCGAACAGTTTAACTACTCCCGAAGCCGCCAACGTGCTTCCCTTAGCGGGTGTGGATGTTTCCATAAATGAACACCACTGCTTGTCCGCTTTCTTCATTGAATCCTCTTTTCCGTTTGAGGAACCTGCCTGCGAGGCATCGTACACATCTTGTAAGTACTACGTTTATGTCATTCACGACAGACGGTATTAACCGAGGTAGTTAGGAACCTAACCGAGACCTAACCGAACCTAACGTACGTATCCATCTTAATCGATGTATTGCTGTACAGCTGACAAATGTCGGATTAGCTAACCTAAACCCTAACCAGGCGCGCTTACCTAATCCTAACCCTAATCTAATCCTAACCGAATCTAACCGTACCTAACCAAATTGGCTAATGGTCGGACCAGTCTGGGCCTAGTCACGTGATGGTATCACGTGTGGCCTAGAGCGAGTCACGTTTAATCACGTGACACGTCAGGTGCCTTCGGTCACCCGGGCTCCGCCCGGGCTCCGCCGTGGTCACGTGCAGCCAGTGAAGCCTCCGGGCGCTCCCGCTGTCCGGACCACTCCGGAACAGGATCACATGGCGCTGGTATTAGCGCTGATCTTGGATTCTAGATTACTGACGTCACTGCGTTCTAGAGCGACTCCAGCCGGGATCCGGCTCGGTCTAGAAAAGAAGTCCATCACGGACATCGCAGCATTTGCAAGATGATATGTGTCACCCTGCCCAAATCGGGCTTGTTGTGGTACTGTACAGGTAAACGTGACTAAACAATACCAAAGGGACCTGATGAGGCATATAAGCCGAAAGGGTCGCGCTGTGGATCCCCACTGCGCTCTTGTCCCTTGGCCTCTACCGCCACCTCCTCAGTCTAACGCCGCTTCGCGGCGTGTTCAGGCGATTAAACCACCTAACCCCTAACCTAAGGCGGGGAATGCCTAGTGGTGGATTAGTTCGTAGAACGCGTATCGGAATGTCTCGTGTCGATTCCTGGCAAATCTCAATGTGTATTACAAATGCGCGGGGGCTACCCAAATCCAAACCGTGTACTACATGCACATTATCGCGTTGTAAGACAGACTCGCGCGTCGATTCTTCATCGCTAGCGCTGTTGGAGACACGGTGAGCACAACTGGAAAATAGATCCCGTGACCCAGATCGATCGACCACGCACTGGGCTGTGGTATGCGACCTTCGCAATACCGCTGGGCCGCGGATGCCCGGGGCTGCATCGTTTGCGAACGATGTGGCACCGCGCGATCAAAAGGGCACGACTTTCGGAAGGCGCGACGTATCAGTGTGTCTTTGTAAGCGGCGATTGATCAGTTTGATTGTCGTCCGGTCACACATGACCGGCAAGAGGCGCCTGCCAGGCGAGCCGTGATCAACACAGTGCTGGCGTGGCGTCTCGTCGGTTGACAGGCTCCCAATCTCACCTCGGTCAACTACGTCCTGATCTGCACCCACTGCCGTCTAGCCATGTCGAAGGTGCCCGCCAAACCACTGTCGCGCAAGGAACAGATGGAGGGAAACTTGGACCTTTGGTTCGACCAAGCGAACTCTGTGGACCTGCGGTCCGCCGACGCGACCCAAGATGTGGTGGAGGAGATCCGAGAATTGCTGGTGCGTCATGCTGTCCGATCCTTATTGGTCGGCGACCTGACACTCTGCACGCAGGTCAGATATGGTGCTCTCATCGGCCTTCCGACGGGGACGACGCTCGAGCCTATGTGGGCGTCTTTGCGGCTGAACGATCTCATGGAGGTGGTCAAGGGGAAATCGTTCAACAAAGGCACGCTCGCGTGGGTCAAGCGGGAATGGCCGGAACTCCTGCAAGGTGGCTACAGTAGGTGGCCCGGGAGCCGACTGTGGAAGGACGTGAACCGCGGTGTCGACGATCCAATGGCAGACGATCAGCTCGACAACGAGGGCAACAACGAAGGTCAGTCTGGCAGCGAGGACGACGGAGTGCCGGGGAATGGAGGAGAAGACGAGGACGAAGCTGAGCAGGACGAGCTAGAGCAGGACGATGATGAAAACGTCGGGGAGGATGAGGTGCAGTCTCCGCCTCGGAAGTCTCAGCAGGCGAAGACCAAACGCGCGTCGATCCTCGCTGAGTCGGCAAAGGAAGGGAATAAGACGAAGGCAGAGCAGTACCGCAAGCAGCTCAAAAAGGTGTGTGTTCGGAAAAGTGCGGACTGTTGGTGTCGAGTTAATCGAAGTGTAGTGCGACTACTGTCGGACGGCTACGAGGGCTGTGAGACCGTGCGTGTTGGAGAAGGGCGGGGTAGCCTGTGGTACTTGTAAAACCGCAGGAAAGGGGTGTTACTACAACGGATACTCCCTAACCGGAACGCAGAGCAAAAGTAAGTGCAATGGTCGGGTTTCGGGGCCGGACAGCGGAGCACATCTGACGGTCAACCATCCTCAGAAGCGACAATGCCGCAACCAGCCGTGAACGTCCCCGCCGCGTCGAGCACTAAGGGTAAGAGAAAGGCCCCGGAGGAAGTGCAAGTTGTTCCCGGCAGCCGAGCTACGCGTCGCACGTCGACCGCGGCTGCAAAGGCCAAGCCGGTTCATCGAGCGCGACGATCGCAGTCGATCGCCACCGTGGTCGATGCAGATGAAGAAGACACGGCTCCTACGACGGTGGTCTCAACCAAGGAGACGAGGAGTCTGCGTCCCAAACGCGAACTGACGGACTCGGTGGGAGACGCGCCGCGCAGGAAGCGGGCGAAGCCTGACGACAAGCCTGCGCCCACCGGTGAGGGCAAGAGGCTTCGCTCGTCGACATTGGCGTCGACACGATCGTCGTCGCAGACGGTCGTGACTCCATCGTCTGACGTAGAGACTGGGGGACCGCTCCCTCACGGGTCGCCTGGTAGCGAGACCCAGGTGTCGGGATTCGGCGCCCTAAACGTCGATGAAGATGTCGAATCTGATGGTGGGTCTGACAGCGGGTTGGTAGGATCGTTGAGTGGGGAACCGCCCGACATTGCATCGCTAGAGTATGTCGTCAGGCACATCGAAAGGGAGCGCGACACGCTTTCCGGTCAGGTGATCGCCCTGCAGGCGACGCACGCCTTGCTTACACAAAACCTGCAAGAGGCCAAGAAGCGACTGCGGGATTTACGCAGTGCG